GAAAACGGCAAATGACGGGCCGCAGAGGCAAGGACACAAGGGTACCCTAGATGACGGCGCGCGTCCTTACTAGGCGCGTTGACTGTATTGTGACACATGTTCTGGGTTTCTGTCTTCCCCCACGCTTCCCATGTTTTCGCACACTTTCCTGGGAGTCGACGATGAATTGTGTCTGTGTGTGCTTTTTTCCCTCCTGAGTCTTCGTCGGGGGGGCCGCGCGTGCACTCTGTCGCAAGGAACATATATCAGGGGGGGGGCCGGCTCCGATGGAGAAGCACCGACCTGGAATCGGCGATGCGTCGGCGATAGATCGGCGACACGGTCCAGATAGCGAAACCGCACGTTCCTGGTCGGGGAGGGCGATCGGCACCCTACGCCTCCGTGGAACAAGTATAAAACAAATGGCAAGGGGATGGAAGCGGAAGCATTGTGGAAAAAAGTGTGGCCAGGGCCCTTCGCAGGAAGTGCCATCCGCCCATCAATGATACGAAACACCATGAACGGCTCACTGCGCAGTGTACGACAAGCGTCTCCTTGGGACTGAACTCGTAAGACTTACCTGAAAAAACACAAATGCTTGCGGCCCAGAGAAGGACTAAGTAGGAACAACACCTGGGCAGAAAGTGGCATCCGCCTCTCGATGTTGCGCACAAGCCAACAGAAAACGTGTCGATCAACTGCCTCGGCACTCCTGCGCGCGCTGCCAACACTGAAAGGAAAATAGAACTTGCGGATCCTCCTGTCGGCGTTGCCGTTGGCAGTTCATTCAAGATACTCGTCGTGTGGACTTTGTTATAACGGTTTCCCAGTTGTGTGTCGGCGTTCGGTGGGAGATCGGGGGTCGATGCGTCGCCTCCTGAAGCCTATTCCTCCTAACGTCGCCCATGATCTACAGTCGGGGCGTTGACCTAAGGAACCCTAAATAAGGAACGGGGCCCCTTTCTCCCATAAGTTGAACTTCGATTTCCCATGGAAAACCTCAGGAAAACAGAAGGCAAACTGTAGAACAATCAAGGAACACCGAGCCCCTCCCCAACGAAAAGGGTTCCTTCTGCAGGGCCCCGGCTGTATTAGGGTGAACCTCTCGCCCATGGCCGTGGCCGTCCTGTCCGCCAGACCGTCCAAGCTGCTGATTTGCTCCTGCAGCTCGCCGAACTGTTCCCGCATTCCTTGCTGTCGACGAACTGCTCCTTGCAGCTCGACGACTGTTCGCCGCATCCATGAAGTGCGCTCGCTTCCTGCAGCTCGACGAACTGTGCCGCTGTCGGCTCAGCTGCAGCCGGTCTGGCCTGAACGCATCAAGCTCCCTCCGCCCGTTTTGCATCCAGCTCCTAGGCATCTTCAGGGGGCCTCGTCTGTCACGTCACCTTTTCTCCACGCCAGATCCGTGGCGAATCCGCCTCGAATTCACGTCGACTCCGCATCGAGGCCGCGTCTGACATAAGAAAAGACACAAACTGTGGGGACAGACGAGGCCCCCGAAGATGAGACACAACCGCGCAAGACACCTACGGGGAGGCCCCGTGATCCTCCTTCAGACCGTGCCCATGGCAATCATGGCAAGCCGCTCGAAATTCGGCGGGCGTCGCCATTCAGAAGATGCGCTTCACATTTGACAAGCACTCGCCTCATGCTTCTAAAGGGGCACAGGGACACACCAAATAAATACACACACAAATCCCAAGATTCCCCAACTTTCCATAGGTTCTGGGCCTTCGTCTTCCGATAGTTTCTCATTTTTCCAGGAAATCGATGATTGCCCGTCGGTAGGTAGAAACATGAAGTAGGAAGGCGTTGGAAGTAGATCTGGTCTCCGCCCGCCCCCTGAAGAGGACGGAAGAGGGACAACCACTCGACCCTTGAAGCAGGAAGACACATAGAGCAGGGTGGAATATGGGGATCCAAAAATACCTACTTTCAACGACCGATGGGTAATTGTGTCTGTGTGCTTTCCCATTGTGAGCGTTATCGTTTTCGGCGTTTTGACATTGGGCGAAAGGGGGGGGCGGGCGGGGGGGGGTCTGGCTCCAGACCCCTTCTAAGTGTGACTGTCTGCAACAGTGCGTTCACTGTGCGGGAGACTCCGCCTGTTCGAAACAGGCGCCAGAAACAGCCAAGATCTACTCCATGGGAGGGGGAGGGGGGGCGAGGGCCCGCGCCGATCGGCAAGACAACAGAGGCCACTTATATGGGGTCGGAGTAGATGGGGTCGGAGGATCGCGTCGCATCGCCGATACACTGGCGATGCATCGCCGATGCATCGTCGACGTCGGCGATGCATCGGCGACGTCGACGTGAAGCAAATCGGGCCCCACATCGGCGATGCATCGGCGATGCAGCGCGATCCTCCGACCCCACCTACTCCAACCTCATCTAGGAGGCCTAGAAACAAGGAGTAAGAAAACGACGACCTGTTTGTGTGTTGCTTCCCCTCCTGAACCTCGACGCTCCCCGAACTCCCGCGGGTGCCTGCGCCGCCATGCGGTCGCACCTTGAGCAGGGACCGACCGTCCCAGCATTCCTACAGTCCTACCACGAAATGTTCCTAGAACCCAAAAATGTTCGAATCCGCCGACCCCTTGGGGTTCATCGGCGTGTGAGATGTTCCCCCTCCCCAAACCCCTCCCCCGGGAGCCCGGTCCGGTCCATTTGGAGGGGGGGGGGTCCGGCCGGACGGGCCGGAACCCCCCGGAGGTCTCATCCGCTCCCGAAAAACGTGGAAAAACACGTGGAATTCGTGTAGGGACGCGTCTGGTGGCCTCCAAATGGGTTTGGGACGCCCCACGAGCGCTCCAAGACGTCCAAGTTTGCCCGAAGACGGGCCACGAGGCGTCCTCGACGGCAGAAGAGGTCCCCACGAGCTCCCCCGAGGGCCTCCGAGATGCGTTCCACAAGGTTCCCTAGACGCCAAAATTGGGCCATTCCCTTCGTGAAATGTACTTTTTTTTAGAAATTCAGCTTTGGATTTTCCCGATGCTCCCCGACGGCCCAAGAGGCTCCCAAACCCGCTCCCAGACGGCCCCAGAAGCTCGCAGAGGGCACCCCACAGACCCCTAGAGGGCCCAAGATGGGCCAACAGGCGTCCAAGACGGCCCAAGAGGGCTCCGAAAACGGCCCCAAGAGCGTTCCAGGAGCGTTCCGAGCTGCTTCCCCGAAGCTCCACATGGTCCCAGACGGTCCAAGAGCGATCAGAAACATCGACGACGACCTCCCGACGGCTCACGAGGCCTCCCCAGACGCCCCCACAGGCATCCAAGATTCCCCCCAAGAGGCCCTCTAGACGCAAAAAATCGCTCGTTTCCTTTGTAAAACGTATTTTTTTCACACGTGCGCCTTTGGGGGTGACCCCCGCTCCTGCACGGCCCCAGAGCCCCCCAAACCCGCTCCCAGACGGTCCAAGACGCCTCCAAGAGGGTCCGTACATTGCCCTCGAGGGCCCCAAGACGTTCATCGGCGTGTGAGATGTTCCCCCTCCCCAAACTCTTCCCCCAGGAGAAGGCAGAGGAGGAGAGGCAGGAAGAGGAGCAGGAGGGAGGAGCAGGGGGAGGAGGAGAGGAGGAGAGGGAGCCGATCATCGTCATCAGTGTCGTGATCATCAACGACGTCATTGCCATCGACAAGGTCAGCCCAAACATCCCCGAACATTAACAGTTAGCGGGACATCCCGCTTGGAAACCGCCGACAACCGTAAGATGTCTCCGGGGTGTAACATACTTCCCTGGCTCCGGCACCCGTGCAAGGCCCCAAACACAACCCAAAAAACCTCCCTGTGCCGTCTTGGGGTTCGCTTGGGCCGTCTGGAAGCCCTCTGGGCCAGTTTGCGACACATGTCGGCTCCCCTTCTCGCTGTGACGGGCCCTGAACAGCCTCATTTTCCCACGGTTTGCAAGGAAGCTGTGGTGAACGATCCCGAGGAAAATCCAAGGGGTCGGCGGATGTGGCGGAAGCCTGAAGAATAACAAAAACAGTGTTCTTAGAACATGAACCCGATGTGTTAAAACAAGACGCTCCCAGCCAAACATGTTCTGATAATGGAAACCACAAGAGGCTCTTAGAACATTGCTTGGTAGGGCTATAGGCACGCCAGGACGCTTCGCCACTGCTTGAAGTGTTGCTTCCCCTCCTGAACCTCGACGCTCCCCGAACACCCCGCGGGTGCCTGCGCCGCCATTAGACGAGCGCGCTCCACTACTCGCAGAGTAACTACTCGCAAATGGAAGGGATTCGCCGCAGGGGATCTACGATAAAATTCATCGAAGTGCACATCTGTTCATCGGACGCTTACGAGCAGGCACTTTGCGAGTAGCGGAACGCGCTCGGTGAGCCATGCGGTCGCACCCCCACGGGGCGGCCGGAGGCGGCCCGACACCGGTGGTGGCGCCGCCTCTCCCCCCCATTCGCCGCACGCAGAGGACCGACCCCCCCCCCCCCCCGCGAGGGCCAGCCACCCCCTCCTCGTTGGTCCTCCTCCTCCTCCTTCCTCCTCCCTCCTCCTCTCCTCGTCCTCCTCGGTCGACCTCCTCCTCCTCCTCCTCCTCCTCCTCCTCCTCCTCCTCCCTCCTCCTTCTCCTCCTCCTCCGCCTCCTCCTCCTCCTCCTCCTCCTCGGTCCTCCTCCTCCTACCCTCCTCCCTCCTCCTCCTCCTCCCGTCCTCCTCGGTCGACCTCCTCCTCCTCCTCCGCCTCGGTCCTCCTCCTCCTCCTCTCCTCCTCCTCCTCCTCCTCCTCCTCGTCCTCATCCTCCTCCTCCGCCTTCCTCTTCGACGTCCTCCTCCTCCTCCTCGCTCCTCCCTCGCTCTCCCCTCCGTCCTCCTCTCCCCCTCTCCTCCTCCTCCCTCCTCCTCCTCCTCCTCCCTCCTCCTCCTCATCCTCCCCCTCCTCCTCCTCCTCCCCCTTCTCCTCCTCATCCTCGATCGCGAGGGCGGGCCACTCCCACCTCACCCCGAGGCCGCCGAAGCGCCCAGCCGAGGGGCCCGCGAGGGGGCGGCTCCGGGGCGGGCCCTCAGCCAAGGCCGCTGCTCTCCTGGGGGCCGCTGCCGGCCTCTGCGTGGCCGCGGCCGCCGGCTTCTTCGTGGCACGCGCGCTCTTCGCGCCAGCGTCCTTGCCGAGTTTGCCCCCCGGGCCGGGGCCGCCCAGGGGCGCATGAGGTTGAGGGGCAACGGAGGGGGGGACCGGCTCAGGGGGGGAGACGTCGACCTGGAATCGGCGATGCAACGCCGAAAGATAGGCGATTGGCCCGCAATCCGCCGGCCCCCTTGCGGGGCCATCAGGCTGCGAAGATTAGGCTTGCAGCTCCCTGTGCCAGTTGCAGCTTCCAGTTTCCACTGGTCAGGTCCTGCTTTCTTCTTCCATACTGTTAACTATTAGCGTCCCCGAATCGCGTTGCCTGAATTCCCGACAGGTCGTGGGACACGTAAAAATAGCTCATAGTCGCGTCCCCGAGGCCATAATCCCTAGGAAATGACACCATATTCGCGTCCCCGAGGCCATAAACCCTTTTCAAATTATACAAGATTCGCGCTCCCGAAGACATAATACCTAGTCAATTATTCAATACTCGCGTCCCCGAGTCCAGACACCCTCGTGAATTACGCAATATTCGCGCTCCCGCAGGCATAAAGCCCTGCTAATAATATAATACTCTCGCGCCCCCGAAGCCACAAGCCCTCAAAAAGTACTCGAGATTCGCGCCCCCAGGGCCATAAACCCTATAAGTTATACCATATTTGCGTCCCCGAGGCCACGCACCCTCGCAAATTACACCATGTTGGCGTCTCCGAAGCCATAAACCCTCGCAAACTACACAATAGGTGCGCCCCCGAGGCCATACACCCACGCAAATAACAAAATATGTGCGTCAACCCTCAAACATTATACAAGAATCGCGTCCCCGAAGCCAGAAACAATTGCACATTACCTAATATTCGCGCCACCAAGCCAGAAGCCCTCGTAAATTAATATTGACCTTCGCGTGAAGTCCCGACGTTGCTGCAAGTCAGCGTCCAGACATCCCAACAAAGCTCGGGCATCTCCCATTCGAAGAGAGGGGGCCGGCCGTATGGGGGCGAAGCCCTTACGAATGGGGCCTCGGCACGTTCCTGAGCGCAGTGGCGACGCGTGCGACCAGGGCGCCGCCGGGGGGGGGGGGGCCAGCGCCGAGCCTAGAAATCCGCGCGGGGCTCCAACATGTGGTGGTCCTGCTGACTTCTCTTGGTCGAGAAGGGGCGCTGCAGGGGCCGCCGAGGGGCCACCAAAAAATTATGTTGCATCCTCGGGGGACCTCATCTGTCCCGTCGCGGCCCTATCCGCGTCGAATCCGTGTCGAATCCATGTCGGCCTCGCTGGATCCGTGTCGAATCCGCGTCGAATCCACGCGAAATCTGCGTCGAGTCGGCATCGAGCCCGCGTCGGGCACAAGAAAAGACACCCATCTTGGGGGCAGGCGAGGTCCCCCGAAGATGCAACGTCACAAAAGGGCTGCAGACAGGACCCCCGACGTTCGGCCGCCCGACGACGGCGAGCCCCCCCCCCCCCGCGCGCCGAGGGCCTCCGGCGGCAGCCGGCTCACCACGAGCAGCCACAGCGCCGCGCCTGGCGCGGGCGCGGGGGCGGGAGGGGCAGGGACGGGGAGGAAGGAGGGGGAGGCATACAGTCGGGGCGTTGACCTAAGGAACCCAAAATAGATAAGGAACGAGGCCCCTGTTTTCCATAAGTGAAACTTCGATGTCCGATCGAAGACATAAGGAAAACCTGAGGCAAGCTGCGAAACCCTTAAGGAACGCGGAGCCCCTCCCCAACGAAAAGGGTTCCTTCTTCGGAGCCCCGACTGTAGCGGAGCGGAGGCACAGAGAGGGGGAGGTATAGGGAGGTATTGGGGGGGGAGAGAACATCGAGCGTCGGCACGGGCGCGGGGGGGCGGGAGGGGGAAGGAGGGAGGGGAAGGGGCTAGGGAGGCGTAAGAAGGGGAGGGGGGGAGGGGGGAGGACGGACGTGCACGAACACGGCCCCCCAGTCCGCAAGACCAGCCGCGTGATACAAAGGTTCGCGCAATGCGCACTCTCGGAACCAACGTGGATTCTGACCTGGGGAGGCAGCCAGCATCAGGTCGGGCATGTCCCCCTACATACGGATTCTGGACGAAAAATGAAAAATAGTCAAACCATACCCCAGAGTGGCCAAAAAAGCATCAAAAATCCTCCCCGGACTATTTCTGGACCATGCCTGAATCTGCCTCCTGTCGAGGGACAGGCCCGACTTCAAGCCAGCAGCAGCAGGCGCGCGTGCGCCCGGCGCGGCGCGCCCCCTCCCCCGAGGGTCTGCCAGGCCCGCCTCGTGCCTGCCAGTGCCTCGCGCGCCGCGGGCCCCCGAGCCCCACGACCGTCCGCGAGCCAGACGCGAGCCTGGGGGCGAAGTGAGAAGGGGCCCGGGGAGACGCACAGTCGGGGCCTTGACCTAAGGAACCCAAAATAGATAAGGAACGAGGCCCCTGTTTTCCATAAGTGAAACTTCGATGTCCGATCGAAAGCATAAGGAAAACCTGAGGCAAGCTGCGAAAACATTTAAGGAACGCGGAGCCCCTCCCCAACGAAAAGGGTTCCTTCTTCAGGGCCCCGACTGTAGGAGTGACCCTGGATTTAGGTCGGGCGTGTCTCCCATACAGACGGGTTCTGGAAGAAAGTGAAAAGGTGTACCCCAATGTGCCCCAAAAATACTCGAGAATGGTCAAAAAATCATCCCCTGACTATTTTTGACTTTTTGAATCTTCCCCCTGTAGAGCGACAGGCCCGACTTCACCCTGGATGCAGTCACCCCGTATCACAAGGACGCAGGGTCAGGATGCACGGGCCTTGGAGGGCCACGTCGACACTCTGCGAGCGGGGCACGGCCAGCGAGAGCGGCCAGGGATGGGCCGCGGAGGCAAGGCTGCAAGGGTACCCATTGGAAGGCTGACCCTCCCTACTCGGCGGGTCGACTGCAAGAGCGACCTCTGGGGCGCGGCCTCTGGGAGCGGCGCGGGGGGGGGGGGGGCCCACCCCGGGCGCGCGGGCGCGCTGCTGTCGCACGGCGCTCGGCGATCAGGGGGGGGGGGCCCGAAGAGCCCGCACCAAAGGTCACTCCGGCCGACGGGCGGGCCTCCCAGAAGGCCCAGAAGGCCTCCGGGCCTTCCGAGAGGTGTTCTGAGCCTCACCCTCGAGGCACAGAGCACTTCTCGCAGGGCGCGGGGGCTGCTGCGGAGCCCCGCCGCCCTCTGTGAAGGCCTGCTCCTTCTCACTTCTCCCCTTCGAGTGGAGGATCGACTACAGGACTGGTTTGCCCAAAAATAGAGTGTTCACCGAATCTGCGATAAGTGCGCAGACTGTTCGTAGATCGACGAACACTTGTACGCATGTGTTGTACACTCGGCGAGAAACTCAACCTGGGGACAGATCCATTCTGCAGTCGATCCCCTACTCGACCCCCGGGCACGCCGCCGAGCGAGGCCAGCCTCGCGCTTGCAGTTACATCCGCGCAGCGCGGGCCTTCGAGCCCCCCGAGAAGTCCGCGCACGGCGCCCACGAGGCCGGCCTCGTGCCTGCGACTGCTTTCGCGCAGCGCGGGCCCCCGAAGCACGGAGGAAGCCGCGCACGCGCGCGCGTCTCGTGTGTGCCGCTCCTGGCACGGGGAGGGCAGGAGAGCACTGCATCGAACCGATGTGTAGGACCAGCGATAGAAATCAACAGGATCGGCGGCCATCAGCGGCAAAGTCAAAAGAATTTCCAAGCAGCGGAAGCCGGCCGTCTGGGACGGCCTCCATCGAGAGACCGACATCCAGATCGGAAGACGAGGTTGAATCGAATCGGAATTTATGCTCCGTCAGGCCATTGTGCTCGTCGTGCCGTCGTCGGCGCGCGGGATTGCGCCATCCGTGTACATCGTATCAGTGTACATCATCCTGGTCGCCACGTTGGTTCTCCCGTGCCCTGTGGTGTCCGCTCGGCGCTTGCGCAGGCAATCCAGTCCGTCCTCTGCTTTCACACCCATCGGAGTCAGAATGGACCGAAGCCGAATCGAATCGCGTCGGAGGAGTCGAAATGAGCCCGAGCCCTGGGAATGGGGGAACCAAAATCGGGGGCGCGCAAACATGGATCAGCGGTCCATGGACTTGGCGCGCCGGTCGCCGTGGAACGGGGGAGGTGGCCTCCCCAAAATGCGGCCGGTGCCGCCTCGTTCGGCGGCAGAAACCAACGATTTCCCAGAGAAGCGTGACCCGTCGCTAATCCACGCCCCCTTGATCCATGTTTGCGATCGCCTGACAAAAGGTACCCATACAACTGCTCCGCGGACCTCTCCCGGGGCGCGTTCTCCCCGGACTCTTCGAGGCGAAGCCAGCGGAGGCGACGAGGCCCACCCAGGAGGCCCAAAACTGGGAGAGCGAGGGCAGGCTAGCAGTACCCTGTGTCCCTCTACAAGTCTAGGCCCCCGGACTACAGGCACCACCCAGACTACCCTCTCCGCGGCCCCCGACAGCTCCATTCTCACGCAGGGTCATCGAGGTGGACCTCGGTTTGGACCTTCTTCTAGCACCACTCCAGAGGTAGGGTGGCTTGCTATCAGCAGGTGTGTCCCCCCCCCCCGGGACTACAGGTACCCCCCTGGACTGCGCATGTACCGCCCACCGGACTACAGGTGCCCCACCCCAGACTACTGGACCCCCCCCCCAGACTACAGGTACCCCTCCCCTGGAATACAGGCACCCTCCCAGGACTACAGATGTCCCCAATACTATTGGGTGACACAGAATGCTCGCCGGTCGGAAAGAGTAGGTAGAACCATGAAGCAGGAAGGCGCTGGAAGTATATTGGGTTCCCGCACATCCTGGGATGAGGGACAACCAGGAAGTAGGAAGGCGGCTAAAGGAGATCAGGATCTGGGAATCCAGAAATCAGGCGCGAAGCAATGAGTGACAAAAAGTGGGGGGGTATAAAGGTGCCCTTCTCGGGACGTCAAGGGCCCCTTTTCTACAGCCGTCGCTGCCGCCCCCCAGTATTGCCCTCCCATTACGCGTAGAACAACAGCAATACTTACGTTCAACGACAGGCGTGTCTGGGCACAGTGGAGGCCAGTCCACAAGAAACCTTCCACAAGAAGCCCAACCCCGAGACCCCGGGACGTCCGTGGGTTCTTGGTGTGGGAACGCCGCGCTTCCCACGACAAAGCCACGGAAACCCAAGAAGCCCAGGGCACCCTGGAGGCAAGCAGGGTGTTTCTTGGCGTGGGCCCCTACTTCGGCGGTGGACAAACCTCCCTTTAGTAAACCTCCCCTTAGTGAAAACGGCTTGGGACCGAAACCGACGGACCCGGACCCGCAAAAACGACGGCCGCGACGCCCTCTCGCGAACCAAAAACGGCCAATTCCTTAATCGACGTGTCAGGATAGGAGGTCTGTCCAACCCCGACTGGAGGCAAGCAGGGTGCTTCTTGGCATGGGCCCCTACTGTACCCTTCCCCTCTCGGGGAGAAGGGCGGCGGCGAGGCGCGGGGCGTGCGCGCGCGCTCGCCGCGGCCCGCCTGCGAGGAGCAGCACCACGAGCGCACCGCACAGGCACTTCAGGCACCTCCCGCGCCCCCCTCGTCAGGAGGGAGGGAGGGAGGGAGGGAGGGAGGGAGGGAGGGAGGGAGGAGGAGGGGGGGGCAAGCACAACTCGGCGGCGAGCGAGGGGGGTAGGGGGAGTGAGAAGGGGCGGGCCTTCTGAGAAGGCTTGGAAGCCCCCCCCGGCCTCCTGAGAAGCCTTCTGAGCCTTCCCCGAAGACACGGAACGCCTCCCAGAAGGCCGGGGGGCCTTCTGGAAGTCCCGCCGCCTGCTGAGGAGGCCTGCTCTTGCTCACTTCCCCCCCACGCTCGCCTCCGAGCAGCAGTCAGCGCCGACTCGGGACGTCGGATCGGATCGGAACGTGTACCGAATCGGACCGCATCGGCTCGGAGTCGGGATCGGGCCGCGGGCCGAGTCGGCGGCGCCGGGATGCACAACGGCGCCATGCAAGCGTCGGGTCGAAACGAATCGACTCGGATCGGGCCTGCTGGAATCATCATCAAATCATCACGAAATGGAACCGGGGGGAGAAGGAAACAGTAAGAGGGGAAGGGGGGAGCGGAGGGGAGGAATAGGAGGAAGGACCGCCTGCACCTCAGCAGGATCAAAGGGGGGGACGGAGGGCGTCGAGGGGGGGGAGGGGGAAGGGGGTGGAGGGGGAGGGGGTGGAGGGGGGGGGGCATGGGAGAGACGGGAGGGGGAGGAGGGAGGTTCTCTGGTTGAGGCGATGTCTAGCCGAGCACGCCGCACAGAGCTCCGAACAAAACTCGCAGGCAGTGCAAGCTATGCCGCCGCGGGCGTCAATGAGTGCGAGAGGCCCCCGAGCCAACCCCGCCCCAGGTGAGATGCTCGCTCTGGGCACCTTCCCGTAGCCACTCGCTCCACTGCTCCGCTCGTGCGTCGATGCTGCGTCGAACGGCCACCGACTCGAGTCGAACCTGGGTCGAACTCGAGCGGAGCCCGAGTCGAAATAGAACCGAACCAGAGTCGAGCCAGGGTCGGGTTGATCCGCTCGGCGGGCCCGGGGCAGGAGCCCCAGCGCGAACCTCCCGGCCGGGGATTCCCGAAGCAGGCACGGCAGGCGAGCGCAGGGCAGTGCAGCCACGGCAGGAGCCTCGCCACGGCGACGAGCCTCTCCGGCCATTCGAAAAATAAGAAATACCACAAAAATAATCAAAAAAACAAAAAAAATGTCAGGGTACTATGTTTTGAGTATGTTTGACCTTTTTGGTGTATATTTGTGGTATGTTTTGTTTTTCCTCGAAGATCCCCCTGTAGGGGAACACGCCCGACATAACAGTAGGAAGCTCGCGGCGGTGCGAGGCACCCGCGGCCCAAACTGGGTGCAGACAGGCGGGCAGCCAGGGCGCTGGCAGAGGACGCCATAGGCAGCGAGCCTCCCTGGGGGTTGCCCAAGGATCACGACGAGGTGAACGATCCTTGGGCTTCTTGGTCTGAATCGGCTTCGAGAAGGGGCTGGATGTTCCTCAGCCGTTCCGAGTGCTTCTGTGTGAAGCGGAGGCCAGCCCGAAAAAGAGCTTCGCCCCTTGGAGTCGTCTTGGAGCCCTCGAGGGACGCTTCGGGACGCTCGCGCGCAGTCTGGGAACCGTCTTGGACCATCTTGGGTCCTTCTCGGGCTGTCTCGGGACCCTCTGGAGGCCTTCGACGACCTCCGGGGGGATCTCCCAGAACAGTCTTAATCCCCCTTTGGGGCTCTGTCAAACCGAATCCTCGGATTATCATGGCCACCCATCAACATCACTATCACCACCGCCATCACCAAGATCATAACCGCAATATCCGTTCACATCCGTACCCACGACAACATTACCCACATTAGAGGAACAGCAACCGGCATGGAAATACACGTTCGGAGGTCCGTGCGAATTTCTTGGATCTGCGATAGACCCCCCTCCCTGGCGCGCTGAGCGTGCTGGGGGCGGTGCTGGAGGCGCAGCCAGGGGGAGGGGCCAGCGCAGATCGAAGAACTCCGTGCGTAGCTCACAAGGTTTATGGCTATGCGGCATAGCCTGTGCCTTCTTATCCTTCGAGCCATCACCACCACCGTCCCATTCTTGGCGGCGCGCACAAGGGGGCAGAGTAAGGGGGGAAGGCCTCTTGGTAGGAGGCTGCTTCTTAGAGGGCGCCGGCCCTACATCTGCAGAGAAGGCCCGCGCCTTCGAAGAAGCAGGGGTGCTTCTAAGAAGCCATCCCCCCTCCCCCACACACCCCTTTCTGTGACTACCTACCAGACCACCCCAAACGAGCCCGAAGGCCCGAATTTCGGGCTGAGGGGGGTACATGTCTTTTTCCAATGGTCCCCGACCCCCCCCCCGCGGGGCTTCTCAGAAGCCATTTGGCCTTCTGAGGGGTTTTGTGTGTGTGTCTTCGGGGAAGGCTCATGACACTTCTCCGAAGGCGGGGGACTTCCGAGCCTGCTGAGAAGGCCCACCCCCTCTCGCTTCCCCCCTGGGCTCGCCGCCGACCATCGTCCTTCCTTTCGGGAGCGGCCAAGGGGGGGGGGTCCAAGAGGGGGGGTGCAGATCATGACCAGCGGCACGTGCGCGGCCCAGCGGGGGGGCCAGGGACGTAATGAAATGAGAAGAGGCGCCATGGAATCTGGGGAAATATCATGGCCCACGTCATGATATCCACCCTAGTCATCACCCCCCTCTTTGCCGCCCCCGATCCTTCCATTTCCCCCTCCTCCCCAGAGGAACACAAAATGCATCAACATAAACTTTCGCCGGTCCGCGCGGGTTTCCTGTTTTTTTCTCCCCCCCATTCTATGCGATACCGAATGTTGTCGCTCGAACTTGCCGCCTGGGGTCCTCTAGGGTTCTCTTTGCAGCAGGCTCACGCCACGGCTGGAGCCATGACACCGCGACAGACGGAGGAGGGCCTACCACCCAAAAGTCCGCGAGCCGCTGCCCCGCGCAGCCAGCTGAGCATCGGCGGCAATACCAGCGGTCCGCGCGGGCTTCCTGGAGCCCCCGCCCACCGGGAGAGGGAGGGCGCATCGGGGCCGTCAGGTGGGGCTTTGGGGTGCTGTGGCGCGCGGGGACTCTACGCGTGGCCGACACCCGGCGGCGCGCAGAGGGGGGGGGGGGGGGGGGGGGGGAGGCTTCTTCGAAAGAGGGGGGAGGGGGGGCAGGGGGGGGAAGGGGGGGTAGGGGGGAGGGGGGGGGGGGAGGGGGGGAGGGGGGTAGGGGGGTAGGGGGGGGAAGGCTCCTTCGAAAGAGGCTGCTGCTTCCAAGGCGCTGCCAGCGCCTTCTAAGAAGCAGCCTCTTGCTAAGAAGCAGCCTCTGTCTGAGGGGCTGCTTCTTCGAAGGCGCTGGCCTTGCATCTGTATAGAAGGCCCGCGCCTTCTGAGAAGCAGCGATGCCTCTAAGAAGCCCTCCCCCTCCCCCTGCCCTCCACTGCGCGTGGCCGACCTTCACCATCGCACCCACCACAAACGGCTCCCCGACCATCCTGCAGGCCTCACCCGATATTTCCGCCTGCCACTGCAGACCGCCCCAGGGTGCGGCCTACGGTGCTTCGACAGGATCTGCAGCGGGGAACCCTCGTACCAGGCTGCTCCTTTTGATGGGCAGTCACATCTGGAAACAACACACAAACAGAGCATCAAAACAACAACAAAACATGGCATACGGCCGGATCCAGGCCAGAAGAACATCCTTCGAGAACGCGAGACCCTCCGCCGGCCCAGCCAAACAGAACACCCAAGGGTACCCTTAACGAACCAACAACACACACCCATACCCACAGGGGGGTCGGAGAGGGCTATGGGTGCGTGTTGTCGGAGGGGGGTCCCCGCTCGAACGGGAGCGTTCCCTGGGGTCCGACAACCCGCACCCATACCCATAGCCAGTCCTCCTCCCAACGACCCCCTTATGGGTATGGGTGTGTGTTGTTCGTTCGTCAACCCTCCCCGGGATGCCCAAGGACACCCAACAGGCACGAGGAACACTGGAGGAGTCATCTCCCCGAACCGACCCGGACCTCACACCTCGGTCCGACGGCACACGCACATAAACCGTCGGAGCTCCGAACGGCCTCTTGGATCTGCCCTGGAGAGCCCCTTCGCTCGGACGTCCATTTCCCGTGCATTTGTTCGGTTTCGTGCGTATTTTGTTTTTTTGTTGCTCGATGGTCCAGGATGGTCCTCGATGGCCCTCGCCGAGAAAACATGCACACGCCCGAGCGATGCCCGGGCCCCGGCTGCGCCTCCGGCGCCGTCCCTGGGCGCGCGCTGCGCGGACCAGGAGGCGGTGCGCGCTCCCCTGGCGCGTCGCGCGCCGATCCAGGATGATAGCCGAGCGACGTCGTCGGAGCGTGTACGCTCCTGCCGCTTCTCCTCCCTCGACACGCGTGAAGCGTACCCCTGCAGTTCAGACGTCTGACAGGCTGGCTGGAGTTCGTCGTCTATGAAGGGGCCCCAGGACACACAAATAAATACACACACATAAAAATAGCCCCCATATTTTCCCATGTTTTTCTGGGTTTCTGTCTTCCCCCCCACTTCCCATACTTTCCCATGTTTTCTGGGGAATCGAACATGAATTGTGTCTGTGTGTTTCTTTTCCTACTGAGTCTAGAGGATGCCTGCAGCTAGGAGAACCCCCCAGCGGGGGCGTCCGATACACCGATGTCGACTGGACCCGCAGGGATGGGGTTCGCTCGGGGTCGCACATTCGAGTCATCGTCGTCGCTCCCCTCAGTCTCGAGGCTGCGTCCGGTGCTGCCAGAGCCAGAACACGAACCCTGTCTGCGGCGACGTCCAGACAACACCTCGTCACTCTGCCAGAGGCTCATTCGCCTGCTAACGGGGGTCAAACTGCTGGGGGTCAGATTCAGGGTCAAAGTCAGCGAAGGGCGAACTAAAGAACACATATGTTCTGCAACATGTACTGCCCTTAGTGGGCCCTGGAAACGACAAAGCCGTTTTTGTTACCGGTTCCGTTTTGCTGTTTTTTTGTGCTGGTTCCGACGCCGTTTTTTTACCAATTCCGTCGCCGTTCTTTTACGGGATCCGGCTCCGGTTCCAATCCTGGAGCCGTTTTTGTTGCCGTTTCCGGTCGCCGTGTTTGACACTTTTTCGGAAACGGTGAAAAACGGCCCTGCCGTTTCTGGGGCCCACCAAGGTGCCCCCATCGAAGGAGTTCCAAAGGGGTCCCGCAGGAAACGCCCGAAGGAGCGCATGTGTTCTCAGACAAACGCGGCCCCGAGCAGGGACAACCCGAGGCACTGTGCGTACCTCTGCCTGGCGCCCGAGAGGCTGGCCGCCACGAGCGGGCGCATGACTGGGGTGGCGGCGTGATGAGCGACCCCTACAGTGCGGGGGCGCGGCCGCCAGAAACCCTCGCAAGAAACCCAACCCTGAGAACCCGTGCGCGAGGTGCACCTGCAGGGAACCTGGAGCACCCGGAACGCAGCAGTTCCTCCAACGGCTGCGGGAAGCCACCGCGCAGCGCGAGGAGCGAAGAAACCCAGGATACCCTGACCAAGAGCACATGGTTTCTTGATGCGCGCCCCCACCGTACCACAAAAACAGAGCTGTCTGATTAAGATCAAAAAAGAAATCGAATCGGCGGGAATCGGCAGGCCAAGGCCTCCATTGAGAACCACAGGTCGAATCCACTCGGCATCGGAATCGAGCGAAATCGAATCGAATCGAGTCGGATGAGTCGAAATGAGCCCTGCTGAACCCTTCAGAATCCGCTCAAAATCGGTCCCTGGACTCCTTCGGGGTGCACCTGGTGTAGATTTTCAACCTGGATCCGTTTTTGACGGTCCCGAGGCCCGAAAACAGCCCTCCAAAGCCGAACAAGGCGAAACAACCTTCTCGAACCCAAAACCTCGAACCTGCCCGCCCGCCCTGCTGGCCGGAACCAGTGCTGGGCCACCTCAGACCCCCAGACGGCTCCAAACTGAGCCTATCATCCCCGAACTTTGCCCCTGATGGGCCCAGCGTTGCTCCGTCGTGCCATTGTGCTTGTCGTGCCGTCGTGGACTCGTGGGTTCGCGCCATCCGTTTAGAATATGTCATTGTATCAGATCCTGGCCGCCCTGTTGGTTCTCCCTTGCCTTGTGGTGTCCGCTCGACGTTTACGCAGGCAATCCGTTCACTGTTTTCACCTCCATCGGAATCGGAATCGACCGAAATCGAATCGCATCGAGTCGGAGGAAAGGTAATGAGCTCTCCTGCGGCCCCTCGGGACGATCCGGGCAACCCCAGAAAGCTCTCGGCGAGGCGCAGCTGCTGGAGGGCATCCCGAAGCTGGAAAGCCGCGCAGAACCTGCGAAAACAGGAGAAGAGCGCGAGCCTCGAGCCTCGAAAGTCTATCCCCCCTGGCATTGTGTTGCCCCTGGGCGTCGAACGAGCGCCCCCTCCTCCTCCTCCTCCTCCTCCTCCTCCTCCTCCTCCTCCTGACCTCCTTCTCCTGACCTCCTCCTTCTCCGCCTCCTGAGCCTGTCCCCCCCCCGAACGTTGCTCCTGATGGGCCCGCCGTTGCCCTGGAGCCTCCTGGCGCGCCCGCACAGGCACGCCCTGTCGCTTCTGCGAATGCGAAGCGGCGCCAATCGGCGCCAGCCGACGTCAGACCGGCGCGCTCTCGTCGACTGCCCGACGCCAGCGCACGCTGCCGCACTCCGAAGACGGAGCTGCGAGGACATGCGAGGCGCCCGTGCGTCGTCGTCATCGCAGCCCTCGTGCAGCCAGAGGCGACGATGGCCCATGCCTTCGGCGCGGCTCCCGGGCGCACACGTGCAATGCCCGCCCCTTGGGCCATTCTCCCCCCATCGTCGCCTCAAAGCGTCGTCGCCGCCGTCGACGTCGTCGTCCTGCTGCTCCTCGTCGTCCTGACTACCCACCAGACAACCCCTACCCAACCCGAAGACCCGAATTTCGGGTGGGGGAGGGGTAATGTCTTAAAACTGTTTTATGATAATAAAAGTGGGGAGACAATTAAAAACATGGTTTTCCCCAGCGCTGTAGTGTGCCTATAGAAAACAGAAGGGAGGCGGGCAAACTGGATCGCTGGAGACGTCCCCGCGACCGCCCTGGCGCCCTGCGTGCAGGGGCAGATTCCTGCGCACCCTCGCTTGGCATCAGGCCACGCCTGCCACGCCCTGCGACCCCAGCGTGGATAGAGACTGCGCTCAGGGACCACTGCCTGCGCACCGCGCACCCTGTCTGGGTTGCGAACAAGCCACACCTGACACGCCCGAGCCTGGCGTGGAAAGAGACCGCACTTGGGGACCATCCCTTGCGCACGCACACTGGTGCCGAGAGGACCAGAAGTGCTTTAAGATGGCCTCCAAGATGGCGCAATATGGTCCAAGTTGGCTCAAGATGGCCTCATCAGGACCAGGACACGTGATGAAAATATTATGCAACAGGACAGGAGAGGGGCTAGACCAGGTTACGACGAAGGCCGGATCGCCCTCCAGGCCAGAAAGGCCCTCAGCAAGCCACTCAGTTCGAGGCCGCACCAAGGCTACACCATGTTACAGCGAAGGTCGCACCGCCCTCTGGGCCAAATTTGCGAGACTACACCAGGATACGATGAAGGCCGTCCCCCCTCTGGGCCACGCAAGCGGGGCTACACCAGGTTACAACGAGGGCCGGCGCGCCCTCCAGGCTAGACATAAGGGGCTACACCAAGCTACAATGTCACATCGACATTCCCCCTGGTGCCGAGGTATGTACAAGTGGCATCGATCGACATCCATGGATTTTTTCCAGGGGGGACAGATAAAAAAAAGTTGTTCGGATGCGAAGTAATGGCAGTCGGGATCCGGGGGGGGGGGGAGGGGGGGGTCATCATTTTTTAACGGGTTTTGGACATTACGGGCTCCAGATATGCGTCTTCAATGTTCTCCGACGGCCTCTCTCCCCCTGGGGTTGGAGGGCAAATTGGGGCCTTCGGGTTAGGTTGGGGTGCTATGAGTGGTGATCGTCGTCGTCGTCGTCGTCGTCTCGGGGATGGACAGAACCCCCTTCAGCAAAACGTGGTCTAGTGACAACGACCTCCGGCCCAAACCTGGCGGGCGCAAGCTTGGAAAATGACGGCCACGACGCCCTCTCGAGAACCGGACCGGACCATTCACGAATCGACGTGCCAGGGTGGGGGTTCTGTCCACCCCAGATCCTCGTCGTCGTCTCGGGTCGGGCGAAAGGGGGGGATAGCCAAGGGGGGGGTTGAGAATCAGCTCACGTAGCTTACTCTCCCGGCGCCTCCCGGCGCCGGAGGCGCCCATGTACCGAGGAATGCACCCGGCGGCGGGGCCGAAACCAGCTGTATGCAGCAAATTTTGTAACTCCCCCTTTCCCAATCCCCCCCTTTCGTCCGGCCCGATCGTCGTCGTCGTCGTCGCCGTCGTCACCGCCGTTGTCGCCGTCGTCGCCGTCACCGTCGTCACCGTCGTCGTCGTCGTCGTCGTCGTCGTCGTCGTCGTCGTCGTCGTCGTCACCGTCGTCGCCGCCGTCGTCGTCACCGTCGTCGCCGCCGCCGTCGCCGCCCTGCCCCCCCCCGGCGCGCCAGCACAGGCACGCCCTGCCGCGCCGCCTGCGCCGGCGCACGGACAGCACGAGCTCCGGCCCGCCCCGCCGCTCGATCGCCTCCCGGAGGAGCGCCGCGGCGCCTCGGCGGGCGCGCTCGGCGTCGTCGTCGTCGCCGTGGCCGCCGCCGTCGCCGTCGCTCGTCGCTCGTCGTCGCCGTCGCCGTCGCCGTCGCTGTCGCCGTCGTCGTCGTCGTCGTCGTCGTCGTGGTCGTCGCGGTCGTCGTGATCGTAGTGGTCGTCGACGTCGTCGTCGTCGTCGCCGCCGCCATCGTCGTCGTCGTCGTCGTCGACGCACGGGCGCCTGAGGGCGGGCGCGGCCTCAACGTCGTCGTCGTCGTCGCCGTCCCCGTCGCCGTCGCCGTCGCCGTCGCCGAGGCCGTCGCCGCCGTCGTCGCCGTGGCCGTGGCCGTCGCCGTCGCCGTCGCCGTCGTTGTGTCGTCGTCGGCGCCCCAGCGTCTCTGGGCGGGCGCGGCCGCAAGACGAAGCCTGCGGGGACAGCACGCGACCACAGCCCCATCTGTAAAGGCCCCGACTTCTGGCCTGGGTAAGCCTGTCCAAAGAATAATCGGAACGACTGCCTCAGTCGGAACTTTCTAGTCGCAGCGGCGGGGTTCTCATCGCGTGCGAAGGCAGCCGGGGGATCGACTACGGGGCCTCCTTGGGTCCAGCGGGCGAAGGAGGAAAGGAGAGATAGTGAGCGGCAAGGGAAAGGAGCCCGCTCAGAGCATCAAGCTCTTGAACGCGTGTGCCACAGCACCATCTATCCTCCTCCTCCTCCTCCTCCTCCTCCTCCTCCTCCTCCTCCTCCTCCTCGTCCTCCTCCTCCTCCTCCTCCTCCTCCTCCTCCTGCTCCTGCTCCTCGCCTCCTCCTCCTCCTCCTCCTCCTCTCCTTAGCCTCCATTCCTTCTCCTAAGAAATTCACCGGCCCAACGGGCCAGGCGTGCTAAGATCTCTGGTAACTGGTTGACAATATTTCTAGTTCGCGCGCGCGGGGCGACCCCTGCGGGCCCCCGGACGAAAAGTACCCGGCAACTAGCCGGGAGAAGCCCCCAAAGCGCTTCAGGGGAGGGCCATTTTTCGACACCCCTCACGTGGATCGTGGCCTCCGAGGGGGTAGCCGCAATCGACTACCCCCCCTCCCTCCCAAAGAGGCCCCAAAGAGCCCCCCTAGAGGCCCTGGGGGCCCCCAAGACACCGCCAAGAGGCCCCAAGAGACTCCCAAGAGGTCCCCAAGAGGCCCGCAAGAGGCCCTAAAGAGGGCTCCAGGGCCGGCGGAATGAGCGAAGCGATTAAATAACTTCTCCCTGTTGCACCTGGAGGCCAATGTTTAGGGCGGGCCCGGCGTTTCGCCGGAGACTTCCACACCACGTATGACCCTGAAGCTTGAAAATTGGAGACAGCTTCACAGTTGGAGGGAGGGTGGTTTTCAGAAAAATGTGGCTCTCGCCCCAGCGCCGCGCACATTCGTATTTTTAAATCCTGCAAGATCTTCACGGATTGAGGGCGGGTGGGTACATTTGTTTGAAACAATTGCAAGAGTTTTCACGAATTGAGGGCGATTCCTTTTCATATGCCTCTCGCCGCAGCGCTGCGCTCATTCGCTTTTTCAAGCAAGTGCAAGAGCTTCACAGATTGAGGGCGGGTGGTTTTCAAAATGTGGTTCTCGCCTTAGCACCACGCACGTTCGTTTTTCAATTCTGCAAGAATATCACGGGTTCCCATGATCAGCTTACCAAAAATTCGCGCTTGGGAAAGATTCAGGGTTATGAGGGTGCAACAATTCCGTTGCTTCGCGGTGTTGAAATCCCAAGAGCGGCGTTCTGGTACGATTCAGAACCGTCAAGACGCAACAGTCAGGTTGATCCGTAGCGTTGAAGACCCAGACAAATATTTCGGCATGCGTCAGCCTCCTCTTCTCCTCCTCCCTCGAAGACACACCATCCTGCCTTTCCACTTTACACACCTCCCGAGCAGCAAGTCGCTGATTTGGTGGTCTTCTCGAAGGAGACGACAAAGGCGGCATTATCACACAGACGGCATTATCCGACAAGGCGATATATTCTCACATAGGTCAAGTCAAACCCACTCCGCTGGGTAGAAGAAGAAACACATGCAGATAACGGACGCATGGGCCAACGAGAAAACTGACATGTTAAGCCCATGCGACTGCCGGGTATCACCAAAGTGGGTGGGTACGAGGTGCAACAACAACAGATTGGTTGGTCAACCGAAAAGGACACATGGCTAAAAAGAAATGAGACGACGGGGTAAAACAGATGGTGGGTTGAACAGAATCTCCGTGGGACGAAACCAAGCGGACCGTAGGATGAAACAAACACAGATTTACCCGATGACCCCCTGTCGACGATAACGCCTCTCGCCCGAGCCCCTGCGTCGGAAACGTAATGAAAGCCCCTGGCGGTGCGAGCGCATCTTGGCCTCAAAGAAGTGCGCAGAATGTTGTAGTCTATATCTATACAGATTTCTATATATGTATAAACGTCTGCGCTAGCCAGCGCGAACACTAAACGGTACACCGGACTCACTTCTATAGCGCTCACTTCTATAGTGCTCACTTTGAAATTGTGGTCCGGAAGGGGCCGCACATACAGGCACATGCCGCACAGTCGCATGCACATGCCCATGCAAATATACAAAAGCCTCAACAGCATTGCCGCACATGCGCGCACATGCCACACCGTCCGACGCACAGTCGAATGCACGGTCAAGCAAAACTCTGAAAGCATAGACGCACATGCCCGCACATGCCGCAGAGATGTCGCAGGCGATAGTGGCCTGACCACCTGAGCTCGGGGCATTTCGCAACCCAGAGTTCCGAGGATGTCTCAGGCAAGCGTGGCCGGATCACCATGGGGCAGGGCATCTTGGAAACCAGAGTGGCGAGGATGTCGCTGGTCAAGGTGACCAGACGACCATGGGGCAGGACACCTCCGAGGTCTGAGTTGTGAGGATGTCTCAAGCGAAAGTGGCCTGACCACCATGGGGCAAGAGATCTCTGAGGTCAGAGTTGCGAGGATGTCTCTGGGGAGAGTGGTCTGACCACCTCAGCCCAGGGCATCTCGGAGCCCAGAGTTGCGAGGATGTCTCAGGCAGGACTGGCCTGACCACCTGCTCAGGGCATCTCAGAACCCAGAGTTGCGAGGGTCTCAGGCGAAAAAGGCCGAGACACTATGGAGCAGGGCATCATTGAGGTCAGAGTTGCGAGGATGTCTCAGGCAAAAGTGGCCTGAACAGCTCAACTCAGGGCATCTCGGGCGAGGATGTCTAAAGCGAAAGTGGTCTAACCACCTCAGCTCAGGGCGTCTCGGAACCCAGAGTTCCGAGGATGTCTCAGGCGAAAGGGGCCGAGACACTATCGAACAGGGCATCATTGAGATCAGGGTTGCGAGGATGTCTCAGGCGACAGTGGCTGACCACCTCAGCTCGGGGCATATCGGAATCGAGACTTGCGAGGATGTCTCAGGCGACCGTGGCCTGACCAGCATGGGGCAGGAGATCTCTGAGGTCAGAGTTGCGAGGATGTCTCAGGCGAAAGTGGTCTAACCACCTCAGCTCAGGGCGTCTCGAAACCCAGAGTCCCGAGGATGTCTCAAGCGAAAGTGGCCGGGCCACCATGGGGCAGGGCATCTCCGAGACCAGAGTTGCGAGGATGTCTCAGGCGAAGGTGGCCAGATCACTTCATGTCAAAGCACGTCGGCCTCCAGATTGCCGACGACGTCTCACGCGGAACTGGCCCGACGCGAACGCGCCGGCTTCCGGAGACGAACGCCGGCCCCGGCATTTTTGCACGTCCCGCACATGCCCCGCACAGGTACGCACAGTATTCGCACAGGCCGAGCTCGCCGGTGGCCGAGCCAGGCCAGCGATTCCGAGATTCCCTGAGCTCGGGCCGTCAAGCCACTTTCGCCTGAGACATCCTCGCAACTCTCACCTCCTCCTCCTCCTCCTCCTCCTCCTCCTCCTCCTCCTCCTCCTCCTCCTCCTTCTCCTCTGGCCGAGCCGAACAGGCAGGCGGGCCGGCCGAGCCGGGGGCGCCCGCCTCCTCCGCTCCCCCCTCCTCCCCCCCCCTCCACCTCCCCCCCCCCATCCCTGCTTCTCCGGCCGAGCTGAGAAGGCGCGCGGGAGAGTATTTTATTAGGCGGGCGCGCCACCGCCAGCTCACGAACCGGGCGAAGAACCGCCCCCGCCAGCAGCGGGCGAGTCTAAACGCACAACAAACTCTTTCAGGAAGCCCTGGCACGCCCCAGGTTAGCTCTGCGAAGGCCAGGAGGCATTGGAGGCACAGGGGTCCCAGACAGCTCCTAGGGCATGAGCGTGCATGTGCATTGGGATGTGCACGCATGTGCGCCCGCGCGCTTCACCGCATGTGCGTGCATGTGCGGGCCCGCGCGGCCTCCCGAAGAGAGGTTGCACAGGCATGTGCGTGCATGTGCCGATGACAGATCTGCGATTCTCGAACACTTCCCGCATGTGCAGGCATGTGCGCGCATGTGCGTCGGACTGTGCGTGCATGTGCGTATGATGGATACATCAAAACACAGCGCACATGCCCCCGCACATGCCCGGGCACGACGTGCACAGTAGGAAGTCCATCCAAGAAGGACCGCACAGGCCTGGCACATGACTGGCACATGCCGCGCACATGCGCGCACATGACAGCGCAAAAACGGCCGCACATACACCCACCCAGGGGTATAGATGTGAGTGCGGTGTACGTTTCTAACACATTGTGTAATACAAAAAACAAGATTTCCAAAAACATGAACTGTAAAATTCTAGGTTGTCGCGTAGATATCGCGAGGGGAAAAACCACAACTAAGAATGTCAAAGGGACCGGAGCCACGAGCTGGGGGGTGTGTTGGGAGGTTGTGTTGGGGGTTGCGTTCAGGAATTGTGCATGGGGATATGCTGGAAGGTACTGTGCATCCTGATCCCTCCCGGAAGATTTGCGTTGGGAGTGCCTGCTGGGGGGGCACTGGGGCACTGTGCATGCGTATCCCTCCCGTCAACACAAAACCCTGCGCAACCACCAGCACGACCACCAGCACAACGTCATCGCC